GTCCTACTTCCTCAGTGGCGGCAACATCAGCTTCGTGATGCCCGCGGGCCGCTACGACGGCAACGTCTCCCTTGCCAACGAGACCCTCCTCAACCTGCCCCCGCCGTTCGGCGGCTTCGACCTGCTCGTCAAGATGTTCGCCGCCAAGGGGCTCGACGTCTTCGACATGGTCACGCTCTCCGGCGCGCACAGCATCGGCCGCTCCCACTGCTCGTCCTTCACCAGGGACCGCCTCCCGCCCAGCAACACATCCGACATCGACCCGGCGTTCGCCGCCACGCTGCAGGCTAGCTGCGCGTCGGCCAATGGCACCGACAACACGGTGATGCAGGACGCCGTGACCCCCAACGTTCTGGACAACCAGTACTACAAGAACGTGGTGGCCCACAAGGTGCTCTTCACGTCGGACGCCGCCCTCACCACAAACTTCTCATCGAACAACCTGGTGCGCGCCTACGCGGACTTCGTCCCCTATCTATGGCAGAGCAAGTTTGCCAAGGCCATGGTGAAAATGGGCGGCGTCGAGGTCAAGACCGCCGCCAACGGGGAGATCAGGACCAACTGCCGCAAAGTCAACGGCAGGCCGTGATCGATCAGATGGCATGTCGGGCTTGGGCTTGTCCCTCTACTTTAGATCAAACTCTGACCATCTGACGCCTCAGATGAGTGGAGAATAAATAAGCATTCTTTGCTTGCCGGACTTTCAGTTTCCCAGTCACAGCATTTTAAAGAGCCTTTCTAGATCTCACCTTCTAAATCATTAGTTGGAGAGAGTTATTTCTATAAAAATCATTTTCTAAATCTTTTCACTCTCCAACAGTTTTTTTATATCTCGTGTACACTCTAGAGAGCCATTCTTATCTTTTATTTTTGGCTAACGAAAAATACGGAATAGAAGATAATTATATTTGTATAACCATTTAGACAAGCTGTTAGAGGATAATTTTTCACCAAAATCTCTATTCTTAAGATTTAGGAAGGATATAGAGAGTCTCTTGGAGTTGCTCTTAGTCTTTACTATCCGTTCTCTTCTAATGCTGCTTCATTCTCTAGTTGTATGCCTGTTTTTATGCTGTAATTTTAATTGCGATAATATCGTACCTTTTATACTAGTTCACAAGAAAATCTTCATGATGAGTGAAGAATAAATAACCATTCGTTGATTTACGGCCTAAGGGCGCTCAAAATGTATAAAATATCTATAGTTTGTATAGCCTAGGTTATTGTACTGAGAAACTGCTCTCCCCATTGCGACTTCTTCTGCGTAGAGTCATATACGAAAATCAACCAATCATCCCTCTCTCCCGTAAGGGATCCTCTGTGTGTCAGCCTCCAAATCTCACGGACCTCTGCGTCTCCCGTGGAGCCGGAGGCACCGCTGCGCTGCGCTGCTCTGCATCTGTGCACGGGGGAGGCAAGGGAAAGGGAGATGAGGACACAACGCATCCGTGCACTGGGGAGGCAAGGGGAAGTGAGACGAGGACGTGCGAACTCGCGTGCGTAGGGGAGGCGACGGGAAGGGAGACGAGGACGCGGCGACCTGCACAGGTTCGGACGCGAGCTTCGCGGACGACGGCGTGGACGCGAGCTCCGTAGGCGGCGGCGCGGCCACGCGTGACTTCTGCTGGCGGTGGCGCAGTGGCCACGCACATGAGCTCGGACGCGACGAGGCGCGAACTCCTTGATGAGGTGTGGCCGCGCAAGCGAGGCAGCTCCGGGGAGGTGGCGCTCGAGATCTCGTCGGTGGTCGCGCGAGCGAGCTGGCTCCGCGGAGGCCGCGTGTGCGAGGCAGCCGCCCGAGGCTCCGCGACGGCGGCGCGCCAAATCCCGCCGGTGGCTGCGTGAGGCTCCGTGACGGCGGTGGCTGCGCGAGTTCCGTGACGGCGGTGGCTGCGCGAGTTCCGTGACGGCGGTGGCTGCGCGAGTTCCGTGACGGCGGCGGCCGCAGGAGCGGTGCTTCACCAGCGGCGCGCACAGGATCCGCATTCGTGGATGGAAACCGAACGCTCCTCCCCCAACGCTGTATTGGATGGTTTCCACTGTTGGGTTCCACATGATATCGATGTCAGAGGAGCACAACATATAAGATGAAGGCAATCCAACCTACCACGCAATAGTCTTTTGAGTTAAGTTAGACCCACGACCTTGGTATGTTTGGAGCTCCAATGGACTTGGCTCCTATGAGAGCGTAGGCGCCTGGAACGAGCCATTCTGGCTGCTACCGGTTCCAACAATTGGTATCAAAGACGCCCAAGGTCGGTTCCAACAATTGGTATCAAAGACGCCCAAGGTCAGAAAAGCTAAACCCGTTAAAAATCTCAAACGTCACATCATAGCGGGGGCACCCTGATGTGTGACTTCAATGGACACCACCAGTTCTAACAATTGGTATCGAGGCACCCTGATGTGTGACTACGGGGGGATTGTCACACAGGGGCACAACATATAAAGTGGGGAAGATATCAATGGTAGGGGGACACAACATATAAGGTGGGGGCAGTACAACTTATCAAGCTAGTTTTTTGGGTTAAGTTAGGCCCAAAACCTTGGTATGTTGGAGCTCCGGTGGATCTGGGACTTGTGGGAGCATAGGTTTGTGGTAACGAGCTGGGCCGGCTGCAAGCCAGCTCCAAGATCGAGAACTCGGTGGTCACCACCAGTTCCAACATCCACGGCGCCTCGCTGCACGTGAAGACGTCGAGTCTATCTTAGACTCGGTTTTTTGTAATTTCCCTCTCTTTCTTCAATAAATATAGTGCTACATCAACAAAAATTAATAAATATAGGGCTAATAAATAGACATAGAAACTATGGTAAAGTCTGCATTGGGAGTGTCCTAACTTGTCTTTGCCTACATTCTCCTCTAATGATGCTTCATTCTCTAGCTGTATGACTGCTTTTATGATGTAATGATTGCAATAATATCATATCTTTCGTAATTCGGGCAAATCATTATGATCGGTAGATCCATACATGGCTTGGTCCTGTTTGATACAACCTCTTTAGGAAGCGTTTCCGAGAAACTACATAAAAATAGAGTAAAAAGCACGGTCAAAACAAGTACAAGTGGAAATTTGGTGGGAATAAGCACAGCTAAAAAAGTTGCAACATGTGAGATGACAAGGTTCAGATGTGCCATTGTGATCATGGATGATTTGTCCTTGTGGTTGACTTGTTCTTAGTTATGACTAACCGAAATCGAAGTGGTGATTGTGTAACTTGTCTCTTGGCTCATGATGTGTAGGTGTTGAATGTGTCATGGCGATCGACGGCGATGGCAAAGGTCAAGCGAGGGGTTTGGGCTAATGGGCCATAGACAGTGAAGAACAAACATAAAGGCTTGGACCAAGGGACCGAAGGCCGGAAGACATATTGTGGACGTCTAGTATTTGGAAATGACAAGCAGAAGTACATGTGTATTTGGAAATGACAAGGAGAAGTACATGTGGGAAAGGGATGAAGATTGTGTTGATTACCAGAGTCAAGACATCGGTCATACCAAATCAGGATGGGCACATGAGTACTTGGTGATCGGTTGGGTCAAGGACAAGTGGGACACACATCGATATTATGGAAGTTGCTTAGAGGCTACGCGGCTCTGAAGGTGGTGCTTGTTGCGCTCTACGACGTGTTCTCCAACTCGGCGTACCAGCTAGTGTGGGCCTAAGCCTGAGCGCTATGGTGCCAAAGCTAGCCGGCATGGAGCGCCAGCTAAGCAAAATTGTTTGCTAATAACACCTCAAGTGGTTCTTTATCTGGTTTTACAAAATTTAATATGCATAATACTTCATTTATAGACAGATGTTAAGTAGAGGACCATGCAAATCTTTGGAGTGATATAGACCTTTTCTATTTTATAAAGATTTCAACCATGGTTTTTGTGGTAGAACCGTCCGAAATAACGTACTTACGGAGGCGCTTGTCTTCCACTAGACACTAAGCACCCCGAGAGCGAGCTACATCGGACGGATTTCATCGAGCACACCCCAAGGGAGAGCCCGAATAATCCACATTTTTTCCTCAGGGTCCAATAATAAGAACGAGTTTATATTACTTAGTCTATTTCATACATCCAGAGTTCTTAGAAATACATTATTACAGGACCAAATTCAGAGTGCGGAAATTAAACAGCGGAATGAAAAGAAACATGATCGCGTTGCCAAGCGCCTCTCCAAGAGACTGACACAAGCGGCGCTTGTTGGCTGTCATCCGCATGATCGCGCATGCTCCCCCTCGTCATCGCCGGCACGGAGACGGTGGCATCTATGCCGACGCGGTGCTGTCGTCCTGCAAGGCTGCAACCTCCCCATTGTACGTGGCCCTGCTATCCTTCATGCCGCTGTGACTGTGAGGTGTTATTGTGCAGTGTGGGCATCGCTGGCTTGTGAAAGATGAGGCAAGGAAGTGATGCCCTCGAGGTGTTCGGCGGAATGGCAGGAGTGGCGTCGCGCAGAAATCAGTTCGGGTGGCCGTGTGATCCCGTCTCGGAAGGCTCCTGTAATTACGGCGCTTCTCCAACCCGAGGACGATGGCTGCTGCTGTGTTGGGGAATCTAAGCCCGAAGGGATCCGAGTCGATGGGCTGCTGGGGAGCCAAACGCCGCCGTCGTGAGTTGGTGACACGCATCACCGATTGAGGGACAGCAGTATGCACGCACTTTAACTTTTTTTCCCAGAACGCACAGGCGGATACTTCCGATTACGGGCAGACGACACGTAAGTACATCGCACACATACACAGATGTGCGCGACAAGTTCAGAAGAGAGGACACGGACGTTGCTAAACGACACTACTGTCTTCCACCACTACACGAGACGAGTGGCGTTACAGGCTTACAACATACTTAGAACATACACACATACATAGAGAGCCCATATAGAGACTTCAGAAGCACCAGCAGGTGACACGAGAGATCCGCGCGCGCGGACTAACGAGCGATGACGCCGGCCGACCGGCAGCGAACAGTCGGTCGAGCACCTAGACGGCCGACGGCCGGCTAGCTAGACCTTGGTGAAGCGGAGGTAGCCCTTCTTGCAGGGCAGGTCGGCGGTCTCAAACCCCTGCGGGAACATCTTCCTGGCCTCCTCGTCGGAGACGCCAGGCGCGATGACGGCGCACTCCCCGGGCTTCCAGTTGGCGGGCGTGGCGACCTTCCCGCCGTGCTTGGCGGCGGTGAGCAGCGAGTCGACGGCGCGCAGCACCTCGTCCATGTTCCGCCCCGTGGTGGCCGGGTACAGGAAGCTCAGCTTCACGGCCTTGTCGGGCCCGACGACGTGGAGCGCGCGGGACGGCAGGCTCACCCCCTTGGCGTCCTTCTCGTCGGGGTCCACCATGTTGAGCTGCCGGATGGCGTCCCGACCCGGGTCCGCCAGGATCGGGTACGTCAGCTTGTGCTTGCCGCCGCCGTACGCCTCGATGTCCTTGGTCCACTCCCTGTGCGACTCCACGTCGTCGCACGAGATGCCCAGCAGCTTCACGCCACGCTTCTCGAACTCCTTGGCGTACCCCGCCATCGCCGCCATCTCCGTCGTGCACACCGGCGTGAAGTCGGCTGTTGTGTCATGACATGCATCAGTACAGAGATGGACAGAATGTGCGTGCATGCAAGCATATGGCCGAGCGAGCGTATAGTACCGGGGTGGGAGAAGATGATGGCGTAGCCGTCGCCGACGTAGTCGTGGATGCGGATCTTGCCGTGGGTGGAGTCCAGCTCCAGGTTGGGGACGGTGTCGCCGATGGTGAGCCCCGGCATGGTGCCGCCGATCGAAGTGCGCTGCGAGCTTGTACCACTGTGAGTAGCTAGCTAGCTTGTCGATGTTGTTGTCTTACAAGAAGACAGCTGCTGACGACTCCGCGCAATGGAGACCTCAGTGAGAGAAGAAGGAACTGATCGAGCGTGCGCATATATATCTGGCGAGATCGGTGGTGGACGGACAGACCGCGTGGAGAAGTGGCACCCAGGCGCGGTGCATGGGCGCCGCGTAGCTAGCCTCGTGGCACCTGCGTCGGCCTCCGGCGCTCAGTGCGTTTGACCTGCCACCAGAGTTTTGTACCGGTGGCGAGTGCCAGCAGGGTTTGGTTTGTTCTAGAGATGGGCTGTAATGCAGGAGTTCGGCCCATGCAACAATGGGCTCAACTAGTTTTTCGAGCCCAATTCAGTTTTGGGTGGAATCTCTCTTAGACGGGCTCTTTTGAACTCAGATGGGCTAAAACCTCCTCACTCTCAAAAAAAATAAGATGGGCTAAAACCAGCTAAGTGCCCAACAACGATACAGCGTCATGATTCTTCGCCCTGTTCGCTTAACTTATAAATCATATTTTTTCAGGCAACGAATAATATTTTTCTCCCACAACAAATCAGTCGGCAGTACTTTCAGCCATGGCAGCCAAGCGAACAGGCAACTTAATTATTATCCCAATCCGGAGACCGGAGTCTGACAGTCATCATCAGACGTCGCAAGTAAGCCACAGCGGCTCGTCGAACTGGCCCAAGGCGTTCTCCCCGGCGGGCGGGCCCAACGCCAGCGACTCCAGCCCGAGCCCCTCGCTGCCCGAACTGGCCCAAGGCGTTCTCGTAGGCATTGCAGGTGAGGCGGCGCAGGCCCGAGCCGTCGAGGCGGCACACGTACAGGTCCCCGTACGGCTGGAACTGGTTGGGCCCCGAGATGGGCTCCGCCACGACGCTGCCCAGGTTGGCCGTGAACAGCAGCCACTGCGAGTCCGGGCTGAAGCACACGTGGTTGATCCGATCCTTGTCCGCCTCCGCGCTGCCCTCGGGCCCGGCCACGTACACGCGGCGCAGCCCGGAGCCGTCGGGCCGCACCAGGTAGATGCTGAACACGGCCGGGTTCGACGGGTCGTGCCGGTTCGACGAGAACGCGATCAGGCTCCCGTCCGGCGACCAGCTCGGCATCGTGTCGATCCACTCGCCCTCCGTCAGCCGCCGGACGCCTCCGTCCTCGCCGCGCGCCGTGTCGACGACGTACAGGTTCTTGTGCCCCGTCCGGCCCGACCGGAACACCAGCCACCGTCCGCACGGCGACACCGCCGGAAACGCGTCGTTGCCGGCCTCCGGCCGGGTCAGCGGCCGCACCGTCACGCCGATCACCTCCCCGCGGTCGTCCTCCGTGAGGTCAGCCGGGTCGAACTCCACGCGCGCGATCCGGACCGTCGCCTTCGGGGTCTCGAAGATGGGGCCCATGGACGTGAACACCACCCCGGGCTCGGTGGGGCTCCAGGTGGTGTAGAACAAGTTGGGCTCCTTGCTCACTGTCCACCGTCTGGACCCGTCGGAGCGGAGCACCATGACGCCCGGCGTCGTGAAGAAGTCGCCGTTCACGGCGAGGTACGCCGCATCGGGCGAGAAGGACGGGAACGTGCCGTTAACGCGGAGCATCCGGAGGGACGGCACGGGGCTCCGCACCGGCTGCAGGTGCGGGACCTGCGAGTCGCCGGGGGCCCCCGCGCCGCGGAACCGGTGGTACCCGACGCGTGCGCCCGACGACGAGAAGAAAGGGTTGTAGTGGTGGAGGCCCGGGTTGAGGAGCTCCGTGAGCGGGGAGAAGCGCTCCGTCTCGACGTCGAACAGCTCGACGTGGCGCTGCGCCCAGCCCTTCCGCCGCGTGGCGACCGCGATCCACCGGCCGCCGCCGAGGGCGGCGGGTGCGGCGGGGGTGAAGCAGTGCAGCCCCAGCGGGGTGACGCGGCGCTCGGGCCCCGTGGGCTGGAGCGTGTCCGGGGAGACGCACACGCGGAAGACGCTCCACCACCCGTCGTCCGCGACGCAGTGGAAGAAGAGCGCGCCGTCGCCGTGCCACGCGGGCCACCCGCCCCGCGGTGCCACGACGGCGCGGCGGGACGGGTCGGCCACGCGGAACACGGCCACCTCCGTTTCCAGGACCCGGAAGTCGAACGCCCAGGGACGGTCGCCGTACGATGCCACGGCGACGAGGTCGCCCGAGGCGGACACGGCGGGGCTCATGTCCACGACGCCGCGCGGGGTGAGCCTCTCGGGCTTCCCCTCCTTGCCGTCCGCGCCCACACGCGCCGCGTACACAGCTGCCCAGCTCCGGAACGGCCGGTCCGGCTTCTCGTGCGCGGAGACGAAGTACACCCGGCCGCCGCGCACCGTGGGGCGGTCGTGGAACAGGCTGCCCTCGGCGGCCGGGAGCGGCTCGGGGCGCTCGGATTCGGACCCCGGCCGGGACAGGAACAGGCTCGCTGCCCCGGTCCGCTCGGACACGAACGCGACCGCGTCGCCGGCGTCGTCCGCGAACTGCGCGTTGAAGTTGACGGAGACGCCGTCCGTGTGGCGCCGCTCGTCGAGCTCCTCGGCGGAGACGCCGGCCTCGGCATCGGCGGACGCGGGCGCAGGGACGGAGACGGAGAAGACGTCGAAGCCGAAGTTGGTGACGCCGACGGACGCGAAGACGATCGTGCCCGTGGGCTCCATCGTGATTCGGGGCCTTGGGGGAGCGGAGTGACTGGTGGTGCACTGGTGCTGGTGGTTGGCGCGATGGATGGACTGATGCTGCTGGAGGGAGCGGGAGCTGTCAGATGCTGTGACTGTGAGCCTCTGGAAGTGTATTTGTAGGTTGGTGGTGGGTCCACGTGAGGGGACGCTATCTGCTTGGAATTGATCGGCGTGTGTGGACTGTTGCCTGTTGGAGTGGTTGTCGGGCCACTGCCGTGATGGAGTGTGCGTATGTGGCGGGTGTGAACGAGCGTGTGCCAAAGGGAATCTGTGGATCACGTAGCCGTGCACAACCCGATCACTCGATTATTAGGCCCGCCTGACGGCCTGGGCCCTGACAGTATTGTCCGCACCTCAGTCCCTCGTGAGGGTGGGCAATCGGTTTAAACCGATCATTCGGTTCGGTTTGTTTGGTGTTGAAAAACTTCGGTTTGCACAAAACAACAACCGATCGGTGGACGTCAAAAACAGAAACCGACGTGTTCGGTTTTCGGTTTAATTGGCTCGGTGTTCGGTTTCCCCCGAACTTCAGCATATGTCCCTGCCGCTCATCCGCTCCATCGACTCTTGCTCACGTCTCCCCAACAAGCCAAGAACCAGTGAAAATTAATACCTGTGTGGGTGTCGCATGCCACCATCGTAGTTCAAAGTGGGTTGGTGCCTGATTTGATGACTAAGGCGGCGTTAATTTGGTGCGAAAAAAGCCATTTGGTCCGGTTGCTTCTCCCCACATTACTACTGAGTGCATCTTCCGGCCGGCTATTCTGATTTCTCTCTCACACAACCCGTCGCTTCTGATGTTTTGGCTTATTTTTTAGACAATGAACGGGCCCTAACGATTGCTTTCGCCGACCATCTTCGTTGCACTTGCATCTTGCCGTCGTCTTGCCTCCCAGGCGCTCAACTCGCGCTCGCCGTACGTACTGCGCCATCGCCCTGGCTGGCCGTCGGGCGCCACGCAGCTGTCACAGGCCGCCTAGCTTCGCCCGTGGCGCCACGACGACAAGCTTGTCGCTCGTCTGCCTCCACACTCGCCGCTCACACACACGCATCGCGTCCGCGTCGCATGAGCGGATAGATCGAGATTTGAGACTCGAGAGAAGAACGAAGGAGAAAGAGATAAGGATGAAGAAAAAGGAAAGAGAAAGGAGAGGGATGGCAAGCAGGGACACGGTCACGGAGTCCTTCCTTTTGGCTGCAGGTTCGGGAGCTACACGTGATGGGCCTTCTTGGGCCCGGACCGGAATGCCGTCGATCGCGAAAGCGGCATGGTGCGCTTCTAACAGAGTTCGGTTTGATCGGGTGTTCGGTTTCGTCGTCCGCGCAAACCGGCCCAAAGCCAACACCGAAACATTGAAACATGAAACCGAACCGAAAGACCGAAAAACCGAAAGTTCGGTTCGGTTCGGCTCGGTTCGGTTATCGGTTCTCGGTTAAAATATGCCCAGTCCGACTCGTGACAACTGAAATAATGCTGACAAGCTAAGGGCCACATCGATCGGTTCAGCAAAACCAAAATTCATAGCATGCACCAGTTCGTAAATCGATCGATGAAACTCGAATAGCTAAAAAAACAGAAATGCTATATCTCAAACGATTGTTTCTTGCGCCTCCATCAACCGAATTTGTGTGCATCCGATCCACATAGGAAGCCCGGCTGCCGTCCGATCTATTGCAAAGGTTCAGACTCGCCGCTTCCTCCCCGCTCCGCCTACTAGCGCCCAGACCAGCATATAGGTCTCAAGGCCGCGCCTCCTAGCTCCACTCGATCAAGGCCCGCTCCTAGGCCGCCGCCACACCTAGGCCGCCCCGCTGCCCCGGCCCGAGCGTCCCTGGCGCGGGCTGGCATCCCCGGCAGACGTCCCGGCGTAGGCGCCACCGTCCTCTGCTTCCTCTCTGTCGCTCAAAGACCAGATGTGCTTTTTGTTGTCTGTTCTTCTCTGCTCTCTGTTCTTCCATTTATAAATTTGTAAAATTGTGAAAAAAATTGATGATATTTGTTAACAATTTGACATATATTTTGTACCCAGAATCCATAGAAAAATAATTGTATTTTTTTTTTGAAACTTTGGCATCTATTTGTCTGAGATCTTGTGTTATCCCCAAATTACATCACTCTGTCCAATATATTACACTGAAGAAATTATTGTAAATATAGTGATAAGACAGTGTAAATATAGCTAGATGACAGTGTAAATGCATAAGAAAAATTCGATTAATTGACAGGAGGAGCCAAAACAACTGAATGTTACCTGGCCACTTCCTAAATAAAATATTGTTATTATTCGTCGTAACCGGACAGCTAAAACGTTTTTTTGATGGAAAGAGGTTCATTAGCTTCTACGCAAGTGCTGGTAGTCAGGGAACGTGTTACCAACGTACGTGTTGGAGGACGTGGAAAGTCTAGTGGCGATGCCCTAGACATGGGCTCCACGAGCTGAGTGTACCTGACGCGAAAAGGGACGAAGGTTCATGTTATCATGTGCCACATAGTACTATAACATATGTTTAAATACCAGGTGTGGACACAAAGGAGCAACAGGTACGTGGGCAGATTCGAGTTTTGGTCAGACCGTCAAGGACACACAAGATCGGTCCTGTTGTGTCATCGGAGCTTGCTTGCCAAGAAACACCCCGTGCAATGATCGATGCTGTGCACTAGCTTATCTGCTAATTGCTAAACCGTCCCATCTTAAGCCAAGAGACTTTTCCGTTATTGTCATCTTATTACCTCTTCATTCACTGCCTGGCTGCCTGTACACAAGCGTCACTGAGAGACTTTGATGTTGCTGCCGTGTCATGCAGATGTGAACGCAGGCTCATCCTCGGAGGATTCCGATTTTGGTCAAAGGGCGATGCCAATTGCCAGACGGCCTCCTCGGCCCTCGCGCAACTTGTTTCCTGTGGGAGCAAGGAACTCATCTATTGCTTCGCTCTCGATCTCCAAAATCCCTCGAGACAACAACATACATTGTGGTCACATTGCGTCGTGAACTGGTAACAAAGCAAGGAACTCCATACCAAACAACACCATAGATCTTATTCTGGGCCTGTTTTGTGGCTACTACTTCAAGACATGGTCTCTTTTGGCCACTTCGATCTACTTTCGTGTGCTTGTTTTGTGGTTGCAGATGGTGTGTGAATATGGACATCCAAAGAACCCCTCTAGAAAAGCTTTCGCCCTATTCGCTTGACTTATAAGCCATACTTTTTTCAGCCAACGAATAGTATTTTTTCTCTCACAACAAATCAGCCAACAGTATTTTCAGTCATGGCTTATCAGCCAAGCGAACAGGGCATTTGATTTCATATAGAGTTCATTTGGGGCTGTTTGTATTTCAATTTGGTTTTGTGCCGATAAAACTAACGGTTTTGGAACCTGGCTTAGCAGGTTTGTTTAGAAAGGCGTCTGGTGCTAAGTTGTTTCAACTTTTAGGTCTCGCCTATTCACCCTCCTCTAAGTAACATTAAGATCTTTTCAGGGGATGAGGAGGGACGCGATAGGTACATACCAAAGTTCTATGATGAGATGAATTCATACCTTTGTTTAGTTGAGAGGATGGGGGTCATACCTATTTTGTGTTTTGTTGGGGAGAGTAGATGACCAATTTTCTTGCCAGGCACCGTTACTCTCTGGGCTTGGTTCAGGGCTCTATTTGGTTGCGGCCGCAGCCTGCCCTACCAAAAGTACGACATGCCGCAGTACCGTTTGGTTGCTGCCTCATCTTCGCTGTGCCAAAACTACAGCGTCACCCGCTGTGTAGATGCATGCCAAAAGTCTGGGGCTCGTTTTCACCGCCATAGTTTTGGTGATCCGCATCTACGGTGCGCGCGAGTTGAAGGAACCAACCAAACATGCCCCTAGCCTCTTCTTCATCCTCTCCTCATTTTCCCTTACGAAGCGCATCACCAGGGAGACGCACAAGTGTGGCACAACGATTAGAGCGTCACACTAGCCAAGCTAGGTGATAGTGAGGTGTGCAAGGGGCGTAGAGCTATGACTAGGAGAGAGGAGGAGAGGCAAACTAACTCGTACACATGCACATAAACTGAAGTAGTCCAGCCTCTCATTCATCTCCCGCAACATCTATGTCATCCTCGACATCGACGCGAGAGGCCCGATAGCGAAGCAGAGAGGTTAGTCACCTTCGGTCGCAACGTGACTATTATGTGGCAAGGAAGAAAGATGCAATACAATGAGCGGCGAGCTTGGCTGCGGGAAAGAAGGCGTGTTGATCGTGCCAGTCATGGCCCCATAAGGGAAGGAGAGGGGCGCCTGGGGCATCAAATGCATAGAGCAATAGTGAGGAGGTGAGTAAGGCGATGTGTACAAGTCAAACTAACCTAACTTTGACTAAGTTATAGTGAATATTATTAATATTTATGTATTTTTTTGGAAAAAAATATTATTTATGTATCTAACTAGGTTTATTATGAAAATATATGTACATTTAATTAACAATACTATTTTTTATCATAAATGTTAGTATTTTTATATAATTTTAGTGAAAGTTTAAATTGTTTGACTTTTCGAAAAACCGATAATTACACTCTTTCATGGATGGAGAGGGTACTTTGAAATTAACATTTTTTTAAAAGTACACAAATAATTTTTCTGTAATTTGATTAAACGGTTTCCTTTAAACAGGCCTGGCCCTGGGGCGGGGTGGGAGGGACAACCGTCCCAGGTCCACTGAGCCAATGGGCTACTCCCCAGGTATACACACGGTACTAATACTCAGCACAAGCCCAAACATATGGCAAACACCGGTGATCACACATTCACCGCGTGAGTCGTGACGCTGTGGCTTCCTTTCCTCTTCTTCGAGTTCGAAGTTGGACTTCCGCGATTTCTACTCTTCCTTTCTCATGAGCGGGCGTCGAGGCGTCATTGACAACGAGGCCTACCCAGTGATCGCCGCTCATTGGCACCTCCCGTGCATTGCGCCTGATCCCGAAGGCGTGGCGTGATCTCTTATCTCGTCAATTCTATCACCATCGGTAGGCGGTGGTGACAAAAATTATATCAGGACGTTGCTGCAATAATCCAGTGCGTAATCGTGAAAGTACCTGAAGGTGCCGGCCATCCATAAAGGAAAGAGTGTAATTATGTTAATTTCAAAGTTCCGGCCATGAAAGAGTGAAAAAAGTCAAACGATTTGAACTTTCACTAAAATATGATAAAAATAGTATTGTTAATTAACTGTACATATATTTTCGTAATAAACCTAGTTAGATACATAAATAATACTGTCCAATCCCTATTTTATAAAACTGTAATTAATAATTGTTTCTCTAAATAGCTCATCTAACATTAATTTAAATGATCTAATTTATGAGCTAAGGGTTATGCAATCCGCTTTACCAGATAGACAAATGACAGCTTTGGAGATTTTTAAGTTTGTTACATAAGGTGATTGTTATCCTAGTACTTCCATTATTGCTTATCGCATCTTGTTTACTATGCCAGCGACAATGGCATCAACTGAAAAAAGCTCCTCAAATTTAAAATCGTTGAAGAACTATTTGAGATCTATAATATCACAAGAGAGGTTAATGAATTGGCAATATTATACATTGAGAAACGATTGTTGGATGAGATTGATATTGACACCATCATCGATGACTTCGCATCGAGGAATGTTAGAGATTTGAGGTAATTTAATATGTATATACATATTACTTCATATGAATATTATTTTTTCATTCAGTTAACCGCTTATTAGTAACATTTCATATATGTGTGCAATGAGTAGTACCAGTAATATTATCATGTTTATATAAAAAGGCCTAAACTTTTAGTTTCGTTCCTGCCTTTAAAAAATGTTAAAATCTATACAGATAGTTTAAAAAAAATCAAAATCGGCCGGCGGCTGAGCCGAAAGTGAACACCAAACATTAATGAACGAACCTATGCAAATGTGGATGGAGGGAGTACCGATCTTCATCGTCAAACAACCAAAAGTGAACACCAAACATTAATGAACGAACCTAAGCCAATGGCGCTTTCTCGATAACCAATTAACCACTTCGACTGGAACAACGGCCGGCGGCTGAGCCGAAAGTCTCCGTCAGATCCAGCTCCTATCACGCACTCGCAGTTCAAATTTGAATCGGAGCGGAGAGAACCCCAAGTCCCCAACGCCCGTTTCTGGTCGCCTCTGCGGCTCTGCCCACCCCGCTCCCACTCACGCTCTCGCCACCTCACTCACTCACTGCTCCGCCCGCCACCGCCATGGCCGCACCAGGCGCCGGCACCGGCGGCTGGCGCGCCTCCAGCTCGCGAGCCCGCCGCGCGTCCGCGGCGGCGGCGGAGTCTAATGAGAACGAAGACCTTGCCGCCGCGTCCTCTTCCTCGTTCGCCCTCGCCCCCGCTCCGCATTTCTCGCTGCCCCCGAGGTCGCCGCTCGCGGCCATCGCGGATCCCGGGCGGAACCCTCGTTCCGCGCCGGCGACGCCCAAGTCGCTGGCCGGCACGCCCAGGGCCTCCGCGGCGGGGTCGGGGGCCAGGGACCGGACCTCATCGGTTGGGGCGGCGAAGAGGGTGTTCGATCTGAGGGATGTCGCGGCCGCGGAGGTGCCCCTGGAGGTGCCGCACTTCGAGCTCGACGAGGACCCCGCGTTCTGGAAGGATCGCAATGTGCAGGTTTGGATGTTCGCAGCTCGAACCCGTGAAGTCGTTGAAATTGTTCAGTAGAAGCAGTAAATAAACTATATAATAATCATCCTGTATCAATTAGATTGGCAACCGTCCCTCCTTGAAAAATAATGGTCTTGATGACGATCAAGTAATCCTGGTATTATGCTGGCTTAACTGTGCGCATCATGTAATTCTACTAATAATGGTGTCACCATCTTTGTAGAAAATAAAATGAAGAATAATCAATAATGTCTAACCATCATGTAAGGCTGATGCATTTTGATGGCTTGTCATGCCCGTTGAGTTCTAGCATTCCATTTGTTAGTGATTCTGCATCATGCCAATTGTGACTTCTTTTACATGTGTCCAAATTCGATATGTGTTTGCACACCTCAGGCTTCTAAAGCTAATATGGCGAATGTGTTGGACTTTTGATGTGGTTTCTACAGGTTCTGATACGGATAAGACCAATTAGTGATGCCGAGAATGCTACTCATGGTCAGAAAAGATGCTTGCTGCAGGATAGCTCAAAGACATTGAGCTGGACAGGACATCCGGAAACCATGTTCACGTTTGACCATGTTGCATGCGAAACAATATCACAGGTCTCTAGTGTGCTAGCACTCTTTTTGTTCCTTTCTGGATCAGTCTTCCTTTAGCCTAAGCAACCTTTTGTCTATAAAACAATTAGGAAAAGCTATTCAGAGTTGTGGGTCTGCCAATGGTGGAGAACTGCATGTCAGGATACAATGGTTGTCTGTTTGCCTATGGTCAGGTAAGACAAACTGAGTTTGGGCTATTCTGTGTCCGCAGAAGAATTTACCTGAACTGTATGTAACTCAATAACTATACTTTTATAGACGGGAAGTGGGAAAACTTACACAATGATGGGAGAACTTACAAAGTTGGGCAATGAGCTTAGTAAGGATGCTGGCTTGACACCTCGCATTTTCAAATATCTTTTTCGACGGATAAATGAGGTACGATGTTTGTATGTCTACTTTAGTGAATTATTGCTGATGAATAGACTAAAATGTAATGAATGTGAAGGAAGAAGAGCGCCGGAGAGAAGAAAAGCTTAAATATATCTGCAAATGCTCTTTTCTAGAGATTTACAATGAACAAATAACTGATCTACTTGAACCCTCGTCAACCAATCTTCAGGTGAGCTAACTATGAGTAGGATTTGCTTCATCTTTTTCAAACTGAATGTTAAATCTCAGATTTATTTTTCTCTGTAGATCCGTGAAGATATAAAGAAAGGTGTATATGTTGAAAATCTAATGGAATGTTATGTGTCATCTGTTGAAGATGTTATGTTGCTATTGCTACAGGTGATAGAATGTTTTCTCCATCGTTCCTTTTGATTGAATCTGAATATTGAAGGTTCTATAACTGTTAAGTGATAACTTAATCCAATGAAATTCCTGAAATATTCTTCTAGGGGGTTGCAAACAGGAAAATGGCTGCCACAAACATGAACAGCGAGAGCAGCCGCTCACATAGTGTTTTTACTTGTGTAATTGAGAGTCGTTGGGAAAGTGATTCGATGACACACCTCCGATTTGGGAGGTTGAATTTAGTTGATCTTGCTGGTTCTGAGAGGTGAGTTACAAAATAAAGTAACGAAGTTCTCTTGCTTCACAAATATTGACTGTGTTCAAACTAGGCAGAAAAGCTCAGGTGCCGAAGGAGAACGTTTGAAAGAAGCTGCAAACATTAATAGATCACTGTCAACCCTTGGGTAATCTTTTGTTCTCCGACAGTATTCTCTATGTATTTTGGTGTGGATCATACTATTTGAACTCAGAAACAAAAGTAAATAACTGCATGTCCCATGCCTATCCAGCTGCAAGCATTTTATATCTAGCACGGCTAACTTCATGCTTATATGTTAACACTTGTGGCATTTATAATGGCATAAGAAATGCTAGTCCCTTTCATGTTAAGTTTCACAATTGTATTTTTTTTTCAATTTTATGAAACCTGCCCTATTTCATGACCAGGTAAATAATACTGATGCATAATATTGTTGTTTTGAATTTTTAGATTGTAACAAATATATTCATATTTGGATATCAAGATTGATATTTTGCTAGCATGAGAAGTTGTAGTTTAAGAAGCACCGCGCACAAGTCATCAAATTATAATCCATTTATATCCTCTTTCAGGCTTGTTATTATGACTCTAGTGGATGTTGCAAATGGGAGAAGCCGTCATGTTCCTTACAGAGATTCAAGGCTTACATTTCTCCTTCAGGTTAAAATACAAATAAAAGCACATGTGTCCATTGTTTTCTCTGGCTCATTATCATATCTTGGCAGGATTCGCTAGGAGGGAACTCTAAAACAACAATTGTTTCCAATGTCAGCCCATCTATTCGGTATCCATCTTCTGTATCTTCATATCCGCTAACTGCTATTCAACGTTTTTTCCAGATACTTAACAATGTGCTTGACTCAGTCATCTATGAATTACCTCTATTGCAGTTCTTCCAGTGAGACATTGAGTACCTTGAAGTTTGCCCAACGTGCAAAGCTGATTCAAAATAATGTACTTATTTTTTTCAAGTATATCGATTTTTTTAAGATATGGGAATGTTTCCTTGTTGACTTAATTGGGGATCCATTTACTTATGTTAGGCAAAAGTAAATGAAGACGCTTCAGGAGATGTTATGGCTTTACAAAGGCAGATAGAGGAACTAAAGGTAAGGGTTGCTTTCTTTCCCTTTCAGAACTCCCTTATTGAATTAGAGGTGATTCTTTGTATGATGCGTGACTTCACTCTAACAGGATCAACTGACATGCTTGAAGAAGCAAAAAGATTGTCCTGGATCACCTAGCTTGTTGCTTAATTCAGACTTTACCAATGAATTCAAAACTTCATGTGGAGTAGATGATCAACTAGACTGTGATCTGAATATCCTAAAGCAAAAGGTCACAGGGCATGATTTTCCATTTTGGTAAATAATAATAACCATATATTACAACGTAAAGTACTCATACATTAATAACAGGTTAGCCATCTAGAACATGTCTTGGCTGGGAGCCTTAGGAGAGAGAAATCAGCAGAGACCAAGATTGGGAAGCTGGAAGCAGAAATACAGCACTTGAACCGTTTGGTAATACTATTTTCTCACAGATGTCTCAATTTCTTAAAGAAGAGCTAATAATCAATATGTGCTTATATCCTCAAATATGCAACATAAAATACAATTATCTTCTTATAAGAATGAGTTGTCTATGGGTTCAATACTGATACTATCTGTTTTGACAGGTCAACCTGATGGAGTCTGACGCACAGCGCTTGAGGAAGAGGCTCGAACTTCGTGGTGAAAAACAAAGATTACACTCGATTGGTGAAAATGCTGCATTGTCCCAGGAGATTCAGTTGTTGCAAGAACAAATCAATGAAAATCCTCAATTGACTCACTTCGCGTTGGAAAACAAGAGATTGATTGAGGAACTTACAACGTAATATTGCAATATTAAAATTTTGAATTCCTAATGATTTTGGTTGCAAACAGAAAACTTACATAGTGACTTGGGATCTTTTGTGCGTTTGAAAAAGTGAGTTTAGCTTATTCTACTTTACTAACATACAGGCTTCAGAACTTCTACAAGCAAGGGAAAGAGAGATGTTATTGACAGAGATATCTCTTTATGGAATCATGTATGTTCAGCCTTCCTGAGCTTCTTTCTGCTGAATTTTTTTAATCTTGCATGCTGTTCTGATAATTTTCTATCTGTAGTTCCTTCATATCCTTGAGCAGAAATACGCAGCAGCTCCTAAAAATGTAGAAGCTCAGGTGTGTTCTCATTAGTTTTGGTTCATTACTTATTCGCATTGATGTGGTCCCTGTCTCTGTTTCCAAGGAAGCCAAAAGCTTAGCCTAAATTTTATCGAGAAATACCATATTATAACCCATAAGGGAAGTGGGATAATTTGCAAGTTAACCTAATTTGCTTCAACATATAAACTGAGTTTATTTTCTAATTGTGGGATGCATTGCTTTTAGGGTGATGAGCTCATCAAGGAGCTTGACAATTGCAGGAAGGAACTGGATGCATGCTTAGAAAACAATGTTCTGTTAGCTCGGTAAGTATTTTTACAACTGCCTTATATCTCAATGTATATTCATATATAGTTCCTGATTATCACAATCTACTGCTGATGTTAACTGTTACACACCTTACATCTACTTATTTCTGGGCCCTTAAACAATCTAATAATAAATTTACCATTCATGTTGATTGCAGTGAAGTAAATAAGCTTCGCTGTGAACTGATACAATACCAGAAGCCCTGCACAAATCAAATCGTATAGCGTTTTCACAGCCTCCAATAACTCAATGATTGATGCTCATATTCGTTCATCCTATTTTCAGGTTGCTCCTGAGGAAAAGGAGAATGTTGTGGCCACAAGCATCAACGCAATGCAAAATGTTGGACTTTTACTCTTTCATTGTGTATAACCCATAACCCTTGGTCTAAACATAGCTTACATTTATCTGTTATTTTGACTTCATAACAGGATCAAGCCAAGCAGAATTTTTCATACTTGTCATCGGATGATGTTAACAAGCAGTTCATGCAAGCAGGGATCACAACTAATATTTCAGAATCATTCCAACTTGAATTACCTTATGAAATTGACAGTGAAGATCCGGAGTCTCCTCATTTGCATGATCCAGAAACACACGACTTTAGGGATCCTACAATAGCGTCAGAGTATGATGGTGTATTGTCTGAGTGCTTCAACTTAGCTATGGGGTCTTCACATGATGTACTTGACAAAAGCACTATTCTGACTGAGCTGAATTTTCTAGAGAAGGATGACACTTGTCATGTCCATGAAAAAGCTCCAGTGAGGGGTATACATTTGCATGATGAGACTTTATTGTGCCAAGAGATTGAAATAGTGAACTCAAGTAAACATCTATCACAGGATGAATTGGAAAACCTTAAAAGAACAAATCAAGAGCTCAAAGAGAAGCTGTTTATTATGGCTGAAGAAAGTAATAAGCTTTCAGAGATTATTGTTGCAAAAGATGTAGAAATTGCTTCTTTATCTGAAGAATGGGAGGCTGCAATTTTTGATCTAACAAGCTTCTTAACAGATGGATGTAGATCACTGGATGATGCATATCAGAACATTGATAATATGATTAGCTCATTTCCTCACAGTAACAGTTCTGTAAGTGAACATGTGGAGAAGGCTATGAAAATTAGCATTGAGAAAGAAAAGATGATATTCAAACTTCAAAATGAACTACAAACTGCGCAGAAAATTGGCAGGGAAGTGAAGGAAAAGCTGCATATTTTAAGAGGTGCAACTCTTGCTATAACTGAAGCTCAGCAGTTGGATAATGAAGAAAGCTCTCAGGAAGAACTACAGCTAGTAGGTTTATTGCACCAAAAGGATTGTATAATACAAGAACTAAAGAACAATTTGAAAGCAGAAAATTGTGTCTTTGCAGAAAGAGCTAAAGGACATTCTCGTGATGACCTAGTGTTGCCTGATAGTTCAGTTGACATGATTGAGGAATTGCCTCGTGATGAAAATCAACCAGCAGCTAGTCAAGTTAATCCAGATTACCAGGTACTCCAAGCTAAGCAACAGCCACATAACTTGTTTTGATGCGTGCATCTGGCGTGAGTAGTGTGAGATATTATTTGCCTATAGACAACATAATCTATCATAGCTGAAATGCAACATAATCTGGCTTGGAATTTGACATTCCACCAAAGTCCACATATAAGCCTATCTCAAATTCATAGGGTGAGAGATGGAAATTGATTTCTATAGATTACCATGCTATGTTTCTACTTTGCAACTTATAACACGCTCTTCAACTCGCTCCTACGGTAGAAATGCAACACATAAGTATCTCTCTCGTATAGCCAACAATAATATACAAATATAATCCATATACAACCATATTAGCTTAGTTAATGTGTCTAAATTATGATTATTAAAATGAATTCAATTCCAAGGATCCAAACGGGGCCTTATAGTATATTGTCAATTGCTACAAAATTAACACCTTCATAGAGTTACATTGACTGTAAGTAAAAAAAACAAAGTTTGACTTTCCAAATTAGTTCTTACATTGATGGACGGAGTAACTGAAAAGGTAATGGTCGATGAGGTGTATTTGAGATTTTGTCAATGCCTTAAATGATTTAGGTATAAACAGAGACTCTACCATACTAAACCAACACAGAAAAAATTGAATTGAACAGTAGTTTTCAGACAATTATCTAAAGATCAAGTACAGGCTAGGAAGTATGCCACATTGACCTCTGGCATAAGAATGTTTACATTATTTACAGCTCTGCACATAACAATCTGTATAACCATGTTTCTAAATATGTATAAAATGCTTTATCTTTCATACCAACTGAAAACAGAAAAATATATAACAGTAATTTTGTTTTGATTGAAATTCTTTATGCACAGAAACGCCTTTCTCATGCACCTCAGTTGTTAGTTTCTTTCTGGATTATGAAAATCTGATTGATAATGTGGAATTTTATTGTGCCAAACCTTGCAGTCAAAGCTTGATAGTGTGATGCATCTTGTTGAAGACAAATCAAATAAGGTTCTGACCTTATTTTCAAATTTTGAGGCAGCTCAAGAAACCATGGAAGAGGCTGAACTTATGCTTTCAGCTTTGTTGAAGGCCAATGAAGAATTAAAACTTGAGAGAGATAATTGCAGGCAAGCTGTGGAATTGTTGTTGTCTGAGAAAAGTTCTCTGATCGGTGACTTGAAAGAACTTGAAGCATCAAGCTCTTGTTTATCCCAGAAATATGACAAATTGCATCAACAGATAAATGAGTAGCGTTTCAGAGATGACAAAGCTTGCTACTATAATAAGGAAGTCGTTTCAGCAAATTCAAAGTTTTTCCATGGTAGAACTCTTTGCTCTTTGCTCAGAGATTATTACTTTTGGCCAAGACTTGAAAGGATGTATAATTGATTCAAGGTCATATATAGCGAACATGGTATCACTTATAGAAGAAAAAGGCAGATCTACAGAGCAGTTCCATCACCTAAATGCAAATGCTTGTGGGTCTGCTTGCCAACAGGTAGATTCACATTCATGCCAGTGGGGTAGCAGCAAACCTTCTCAATCTGATTATAGTGCAGAATATGCATCACTCAGAAGAGAATTTGACAGGAAGAGCAATGTTGTAGAAGGATTGTCTTTTGATCTTAAACTACTGCAAGAGTCTACCTCAAACGCAAAAGATATGAAAGATAAAGCTGATGAAATATCTACTGCCCTTAGCAATGTTCAAAGAGAACTAGATATGAAAACTTCTACAATAGAAACCATGTTGAAAAAACAAAAGGTACTTGAGGAAGAACTGGCTGAAAATGGTGCCAGACTCATTATTTTAAGATCAGAGTTAGAGCATTCTCAAAGTTTATCATCAGCGTTATTAAAGGAGAACAAAGGTCTGAGAGTGATGTTGGAAGATGAAACTGTGAAGAATAGTGAAACAAAAGTGCTGTTGGAAGAAAAAGTTAAGGTCATAGAGGGATTGGAGAGCCAAATACTATTGCTAAATCGTTCTGAAGTGGGGCAGTTGATGTCAGATATTGAAGAATTAAATAATAGCATTAAAATAATGAGTAGTGACAGAGAAAATCTCCAGGCAGAGATATTTAAGTTAAGGGACAAGCTTGAGATGGCAATGGCTTTAGCTGAGGAAAATGAAGCTGCTGCTATTGAAGCTCGTCAAGTAAGTATTTTTGTAATTAGTTTTTTTTTTTCATCCACAACTCTGAATTTAATTGAAAGTGGGCACTTGTTATGCTTCTGTAGACTGCAGAGATTAGTAAAATCTATGCTGAGGAAAAAGAGGAGGAGGTTAAGATTCTTGAACGATCTGTCGAGGAACTTGAAGGAACAGTGACTGTTCTTGAGGAAGAGGTACTCTTCATTGGTCTTCTTCGTTTTGTGCTTTCTCTGCTTATCGGGCAACTTGCCATAATGAGATACATGGCTGCTATAAAATTTTTGTAATAGTGATTATAATACATGTAGCACAAAAGTACCACAAATTTCCATTTGCCATTAGATTTAACCTTTTCAGATGTACCTATGCAAGGATTGGTGCGTGAACATGGAGAGTCAGACTCTACTTTGTTACACAGTATTATCTATCACATATTCTTATTTTTGCCGAAGGTATGCAACCTTAAAGAGGAAGTAAGGAGCCATCAAGTACATAAACTATCTGAAGCCCACTTTCAAGCTTTTGATGACATGCTTGCTGTAGAAAAAGCATCAAAATGTGATGCTGCTGAGGAATCGTGTCAAGGGAAATGTCATCTAGAAAAGTAAGAATTCAATTGAATTGCTTGTTGCCATGAGGCACCCATAAGGTGTCTATGAGCTTGTTTCAACTGATGGCATCTTCAATGCAGGAGATTGCAAGCTGAGATTCTTGCACATAAAGATGTCAGAAAGAAGATTGAAGGTCTCAAATTGGAAGCAAAACGTAAAGATGATGAGGTTCATGTCGAACTTATACACAACTATTTGAGATTTTGAGTTCTTTCTTCTCTTAAATAATCATCTAAACCGGCAATACACATTCATATAGATTGGACAATACAAAGAGCATATTGCTGAGTTGGTCCTGCATTCAGAAGCACAGTCTTTGTTGTTTCAGGAGAAGGTATGGAACACTACCTACATTGTTTTGTGTCTATTTGTTACTGTCTATGTGCTACTAATTCTTGTTGTGCAGTACCATGAAATGGAGCACATGGTTTCTAGACAGAAGTTTGGTCCGCATGAATCTAGTTCTGAGACTGTCCATGCCAAAACTGAAAAGCCTTCAGGGCGAGCAAGAGGATCCAGCTCCCCTTTCCGGTGCATATCTAGCATTATTCAACAAATGAACTCTGAGAAGGATCAAGAAATCTCGGTGGCACGCCAACGAATTGAAGAACTGGAAGGTTTGGTTAGTTGCAAACAGAAAGAGGTAACATGTGTTTCTTTGACCTTTGGTTTTTTTAGTAGTCTGGATTGAAATATTTAGCACTGGTCAATCATGATATATTGTTAATCAGGATATATTGTCTCACTATCATAATGTTGCTGTTGCATATGTCCTCAGATTGCAATGAGCCAATGAGGTTCACCATCTGGTCCGAATCCAAATGCCATGCTACCTAGTTGGTTTTCCTTCTTAGGCTATTATTCAATACAAGAACTATTATTCATAGTAGAAACCATAGCTTATACTATGATATATCAGGTGCCATCTATTTACTTAAAAAGAAAGGGCTAATGACGTGAACGTTTACAATTGTGTGCTTCGTTGAAGAAATTTTGACAGCTTATCATTTCTCTGGGAAATAAGATACAAATGATTATGCTCCATGTTTAACTATAATTTGGACTATTTATTGTCCAATATTCAGCTACTTCCTGTAAAGTTTATGCTTTTTTTTCTCCTTGACCATAGATATGCTTGCTAACATCAAGACTAGCTGCTGTGGATACCATGACACATGATATTATAAGAGAACTACTTGGTGTCAAACTAGACATGACAAACTATGCTGTAAGTAGCAGAAGTTTCTCCAAGCTGTTAAATATTATGTGTTATTGTTATACTGTTCACTTAGTGAGATTTGTTGTTCACATATCTAGAATTTGGTTGACCAAGAAGAGGTGCAAAAGTTGCTGATAGCATCCCAGCAACAAATTGAACAATCAAAGGCGAAGGTATGCCACCAACAAATCTGTGTTTTACTAAGTTGAATCATACTCTCAGAAGGTGTTCCTCATTTTTTCATCTGTTTTGCCACTGTAGGACACAGAACTTGAAGCGTTGAAAGAACAACTTGGTCTTCTCATTCTGGAAAGGGACAGGTGAAACTTCTAATCCTGAATTGTTCATCTGATCATTCTGCTTATAGTTGAAATTACTGAGTCAAGTGAACATGTTGGGATTTTATTTCTTTTAACTTCAAGCTTGCTTGATGACATGGACCAAAGAAAGACGGACCTATTAGAGGCCCAACTGCTCGTTGAACAGCTTGAGCAACGGGAGCAGATGCTGGAAGCGCAGATTGAAATGTTACAGGTTCAGAAAATACTTATGCGCCCGAGAACTTCCCTCAAAAACATATTGCGCTATTCAACTTACTACCTGACTTCGATCATGCTAAACTTGTGCATATGTGTTTTTGTAGTTGGAGAAAGACAACCTTCAACAGAAGACCATGGAGATGGACGAGACAATTGAACTTCTAGCCAGATCAAACCAACAAGATATAAATCCAAGAATGGTGAAGTACCTTCACTATAAATGCTCACGTTCAGCAGTTAATTGTGGGCTTCTGATGACCAGAACATTTCTACAGGGGGATAACCACCATCGCGGCAGCAGTGAGTTCAGCAGGCGGCTAGCTCAGTCCGACATGCTCCTCTCCCATGCGAGGCATGAACATTCTCGCCGGCATGCGGCCGGAAGCTCGAGGACGCACCATGGCCGGCATCGGTGAAGCATCGTTGCTTGCTGGAATGCTGGTGCGTCAGCCGTCAGACACCGCTTGTGTTTGTAGTAGATTGGCAGCGGCGCGGCTTCTCTGGCCGGGTCTGTACAGATTGTTCGGAAGCCGTAAGGCCCAAATGGCAATGTCCAGAAGAAACCTTCCACGTCTGTAAGATCTGCGCGACTGCGCGCCTGTAAATCTGATAGTGCAATGTACGCGTTGCTTGCGTAGAGTTGCCATTTGGGCCGTTGTATGTTCTTCCACGAGACCTACGTTGTAGGTTCCGGCTTTTCGCAAGTGAGATTTCCCCAAACAGCTGAGATTTGTTTCTAGTTGTACAGTTGTAAACCGTAACCGAGGGTTAGGGTTAAGTGCCGAGTCATAGCTTTTCAAATGGATGGACCATCATGGTTCAGGACACATTCTTCGAGCTCCCAATACGTTGGCCTCGCTGTAACGAGGCGCAGATATTTACATGCTCCAATTTCTTTTCTCTTAAAAAATGGTCCATTGTTTTCATTATTTTTATTTTTTAGTTAAACAGATAAGAGGAAGCTACTCCCTCTGTTTTAAAATAAACGTATATCTCGATTTACGAGAGTCAAACTTTTTCAAATTAATCAAATATATAAAAACTATACTAATATATATGATGTACTTCCTCTATCCCAAATTATAAGTCATTCTAAGAATTTTGAAGAGTCAAAGCATCTAAAGTTTGACTAAATTTATATGATAAGATAATAACGTTTATGATACCAACTAAGTATCATTATATTCTTTATTAATTATATTTTCATAGCATATCTATTTGATGTCATAAATATATGTAATTCTTTCTACAATTTTGGTTAAACTTGAAATACTTGGTCTTTCCAAGATTCTTGGAATGACTTATAATTTGAAATGAATGAAGTATACTATTAGATTAAACATGAAATGTATTTGTAGATGCGAATATTGATACTATTTTCTATATTTTAGTCAAACTTTTTAAATTTGACTCTTGAAATGAGATGTGCACGTCTACATGTTCGGTAATCGATCCCTTGTGATTTCGAGAGGGCCAGAGGCGCCGCTAAGTAATTGATAGGCCCACGAGATCCGCCCCGTGACCCGGCCCAAGCTCCTCGACCTCACTCGGTCACTCCACTGTGTCCACTCCGCCGGCCACCGCTCGTCTACTGCCCCTTCCCCTAGGACTCGGACCTCGGCGTCACCATCAACGGATCGGTCATCTCAATGGCCGCTGAATTCGAATTCACACGCACTCCAGACTCATTCAAATTTCGGACTACCCCGCCTGGCCGCCTCGACCCCCACGCTCCTCCGTCCACCTCCCTCTTGCCCCTCCCGCCAAAGCCCCAGCCCCCATGGGGTGGTGCAGTAAGCTTACCAGCACACACGCTCACTCACTATGGCTAGAGGTAGAAGAAGGGGTGAGCACAGTCATACACACACATCACAAGCACCAGCGTTGGCTAGAGCTCTGCTCTTTTGGTTTGTGGCAACTGAACTGCCTGTTTTCATTGCATAGAGGTAGAGTATATACAACTCATATAACAACTATAAGGTACATATGAGCATGGCTGAGTACAGCTCAACTACTCCTAGTACTAGCAGTACAATTCCTACCTCAGCCCACTACCAAGATATGACTGATGTATTAGCTACCAACTAATGTACCAGTGGTGGCCTATTGTCATACTGCTACAGCAACTAGGACAACAGAGAATGACCTATTGCCAAATCTGTTGTGCAGCAAACAAAACGTGAGAGGTCAGCAGCAGATTATGTCTTACAATTCTTTCCCTAATCCTGCTGCTAACCCAAAGCCTTGACCTCATCCATGCCAATCATTTTCCTTAGCTCCATGAACCGCAGGCGCCCGAGTGACTTGGTGAGGATGTCAGCGAGCTGTCTGTCGGTCTCGACAAACTCGATGACGATTTGCCCTCCATCGACGCAGTCCTGGAGGAAGTGGAACTTGATGTCGATGTGCTTGCTCCGATCGTGGAGGACAGGATTCTTGACGAGGGCGATGGCGGGCTGATTGTCTACCATCAAAGCTGGTGGGTGAGCTTCCTCGCCGGTCAGCTCACCTAGCAGCCAGCGCAACCAGACAGCCTAGGATGCCACTGTGGCCGCTGTGACGTACTCGGCCTCACACGTCAACAACGCCACAATCTTCTGCTTCAATGATTGCCAGGCGATGAGGGCTGTTCCAAGGAAGACAAGCACACCAGAGGTGCTTCGTCGCCCGTCGATGTCGCCCACCATGTCTGGGTCGCTGAAAATAGTGAGCTCTAGCTCACCTTCCTTTGCCTTGGGGGCGCCTCACTGAAGACCATGAGCCACAGCCCACCCTTGCCGCCACTCTTGGGAAGATGATCGCTTGATTGAGCGTCCCCTTGATGTAGCACAACAACCTTTTCACCGTCGTCCAATGATCCTCACGCGGTTCCTCCATGAATCGACTAACATACCCAACCACGAACGCGATGTTCGGTCGAGTATGCTTGAGGTAGCGCAGCCTGCCGATGATGCTCTGGTAGCGCGTCGCGTCCACCTTCACCGCCATGCTGTGCTTGGATAGCTTCAGCCGCTCCTCCATTGGAGTTGCGCACGGCTTGCACTCCGCCATGTCGTTGCGCTCCAGCAGCTTCTCCGCATAGATGCGCTGGCCCAGGGAGATGTGCTCCTTCCCCTGCCTCACCTCAATGCCAAGGTAGTAGGAGAGCGCGCCGAGATCGCTCATTTTGAAACGAGCAGCCATCTCGTGCTTGAAGCCATCAATATCCTCCGCCCGTGCTCCAGTGATGATCAAGTCGTCCACATACACGCCGACGACGAGCTCCTCCTTCCCTTGTCGCTGCGTGTATAGCGCATGCTTTGTGGTGCAGTGAGTGAACCCAAGCTCGCCCAAGGTGACATCGAGCTTGGCGTTCCATGCCCAAGGGGCCTGCCGTAGCCCATAGAGCTCCTTGCGCAGCTTGAGCACCTTGTGCTCAGCGCCCATGATGGCGAAGCCCAGAGATTGCTTGACGAAGACCATCTCCGCAAGCTCGCCACTGAGGAACACAGACTTGACATTGAGGTGGTGGACGCACCAATCCTTTGCTGTTGTCGTGGCCAACAGCAAGCGAACGGACTCCATTCATGCCACCAGAGCAAAGACTTCCTCGAAGTCGATGCCCTCACATTGCACGAAGCCACGGGCGATGAGCCGAGCCTTGTACTTGACAATGGCATCGCGCTCGTTCTGCTTCACCTTATAGACCCACTTCAACCCGGTCGTCCTGCAACCTACCGGTGGATCCACCAGCTCCCATGTCCCATTGTCCTCGATCACCCTCATCTCCTCCAACATCGCTCGGCATCAATTGGCGTCACGTTCAGCCATTGTGAACGTTGGTGGCTCCTCTATGCTGACAAGGAGTAGTTCTGGGTCATCCAGAAGCTGGCTAGCCAGCCCTAGAGCTCCCCCTTCGCCGACAAGGTTGTCCACCCGCCTGAACTGAACCTCCTTGTCGTCATGGAAAGCAGCTATGAACTCGTAGATGTCGATGGGTGGTGATCACGAACTCAATGGGGTGTCCTCTGTCTTTTGCCGTCGTGAGGGACTGGTGGTGGAGGTGAATGCGTGAATTCTTTGGTAGAGACTGCTCTCCAACAACAACCTGTTCTCTAGCAGCCTACTCTCCAGCAGCAGCCTGCTCTCCAGCGCCATCATCTCCTCCTCCTTGGATCACCAAGTGCTCGATAGCAAATGTGCTGCTGACACCAGCAGCTTCCACGACGCCTTGATCCTCCCAATCCCAAGCAGCCATCTCGTCGAATACTACATCCCTAGAGACCACCACCATGCCTCCATTGGGATCATAGAGCCGATAGGCCTTGCTTCCCTCCTCATAGCCCAACAGCACCATGGGCGTGCTTCTGTCCTCCAGCTTGTTGAGGTGGGGCTTTGTGTTCTTGACATTGCCAACGCAGCCAAATGTCCTAACGAAGGACACATTCGGCTTGCATCCATGCCAAGCCTCGAACGACGTCTTGCCCTTCAGGGCCTTGGTGGGCGCACGATTGAGGATGAACACCGCCGTGGTCACCGCCTCTCCCGAACTCCGTCGGCATCTTATTAGCCTTCATCATCGACCTCGCCATGCCGACCACTGTCGGTTGCGCCTCTCCACCACGCCATTCTACTATGGCGTGTACGGCGCGATGTGGTGGCACACCACACCTTGATCCGCGCAGTACGCTACAAACTCTGAGAGGTGAATTCGTCGCCGCAATCAGTCCGCACTGTCGTAGCTTCTTGCCGCTCTTTGCCTCCACGCGTGCCTTGAACTTCTTGACCGCATGCGTTGCCTCAATCTTGCCGGTCGGAGAAGCTGCAGCCACACATGAACTGCTATTGTCATCCACCAGCAAGATGAAGTACTTGTGCCCGCCATGCATCGCCCAGTGTGATCGGCCCACGAGGTCACCATGGACCACTCGAGGGGCCTCGCCACGCTGGTACTTTTATCGTCTTTGGGAATGATAGCCTTCTTTGCTTCCTAGCGGCAGCAATTTGTCACATAGCTTCGCCTATGTGCTTGATGTGAGGCAGCCCCTAGACCATCTTTTCTAGCTTCTTTGAGGCGTCGAAGCTGAGATGGCCATAGCGGGCGTGCCACAGCCATGGCTCCTCCGTGCGCTGTGCAGCCAAGCAGATGGGCTTCTCCACCTTCAAGTCGAGCAGGTACAGCCGGTTCTAGGACCTCTTGTAAGTGCAATCAAGCCCTAATGTGGATTTTAGTGTTAATGACCACCTAATTAGAGAACTAATGAGATTTATTAAGATGACAAGCAGAGAATTCATTATAGAGGATGTCACATGGAAAGGAGGAGCCCCCAATTACAAATAAGGACGGCATCACATTCAAAGGAGTTTTAAATTCTTTTGTTTTTTGAAATTGAGTATGGGAAAAGCCGTACTATAAAGGGGGACACTACAACTGGTT